TATATATATATATATATATATATATATATATATATATATATATATATATATATATATATATATATACTGTTGATATTCATGATGTCAGCTTTGCAGAGTATAGAAGACAGATTATATGGTGTTTAACACCGTCATGAACAATTATATGTTGTGAGAGCCATATCGTCAGATTGAGGGGAGCAGACTCTGACTGCTTCACACTCACTGGCATGACATCACTGGAAAAAAAAAAAAAAAAGATGAGACCTTGAGGTTTCTAAACTGTGCACTGATCTAAATATTGCATCGTATCTGAGATTGTATGTCAAATTATGACCTTGAGGTATGTTGACTCAAATGCATCATAAAAGGGGAGAAAATGATATATTTACACTAATGAGTGTAAGTAAACGTCAAACCAGAGCTGTATCTCTGTATCCATATTAAATAAAATGTGCTTAATCTGTTATTTCTTGTTCTCTGTTTCCATGCTCACCTGAAGGTGGCATCGTTAAGAAGACCTGCAGATTTAAGATCAACGAAACCTCCGAAGACCATCAAGGACACATTTTCAAATTACGCTAAAACCACCGGAGGGTCTCTGAGTGCTGGCCGACAGATTTGTTTGAATAACACCGATTCATAGGAGTTTGTTTGGATCTAACCATGGAGCCAACAGGTCTGTAAGCAAAGTGTTTAAAGAAGCTTTTCTTTTCTGAAATTATGTGAAAATGGGGTACATGTGCAGCTGGTTTTTTTAGTTATGTTAAAAATAAATTATTTTCTGTAAGAACCTGCAGTAATCAGGAATAAATTGAGGAATATTGACAATTAATAATTTTCATGTTTTTTCTTGTTTTGGTGCCCTTCTTAGGACAGAGCAAACCATCTGGATCTTTGCACAAATTCCTCAGAATGGTTCTCTTCTGTGTTTTTATTCTTGGATGTTTTGTGACTATTTCTTTAATGTACAATATATCATCCACCACCTGTTTAAACCATCTACCAGAGTCATCAGATTCCACAAAGAGCATCCAGCATGTTTGTAACGAAACCAATGACAAAAAAATGACTACAGTTCTCATCTGGCTGTGGCCCTTTGGAGAAAAATATGATCCGAACGTCTGCAGCTCAAACTTCAACATCCAGGGCTGCTTCGTTACAGGAGACAGAAACTTCTACAACAAATCGGACGGGGTCGTCATCCATCACAGAGACATTGCCGGGGACCTGTCCAACTTGCCGAAATCACAGAGACCTCTGTTCCAGAAATGGATCTGGATGAACTTTGAGTCGCCATCAAATTCAGACCGACTACCCGGGATTAATAACTTGTTCAATCTGACTCTCACTTACCGTCGAGATTCCGACATCCATGTGTCTTATGGGTCTATTGTAGCAGCAGATACTGTGGAGGACTTTGTACCACCAAGCAAAAACAAACTGGTCTGCTGGATCGTCAGCAACTGGAGTCCCAATCATGCAAGATCAAAATATTACAATGAGTTGAGAAACCATGTGAAAATTCAAACGTATGGACGTGCCTTTAACAACTACATCTCTGACAAAGACTACACCCCTACTATGTCTAGTTGTAAGTTTTATTTGTCCTTTGAGAACTCAATCCACAAGGACTACATCACTGAAAAACTCTACAACCCCCTCTATGTGGGCACAGTGCCGGTGGTTCTTGGCACAACCAGAGAAAACTACGAGAACTTTATTCCAAGAGACGCTTTTATCCACGTGGATGATTTTGAGTCACCCAAAGAGCTGGCTGACTACCTGCTTCTTCTGGACAAGAACCAAGAAATGTACCTTGGATACTTCAAATGGAGACGGCACTTAAAAGTAAAGAGAGTCGATTTCTGGGCAGGGCACACATGTAAGGTCTGTGATTACCTGAGGCGGAATAACGAATACAAGGTAATTAATAACCTTAACAAGTGGTACTGGGATTGATGGACCGCGCGGCACTCATCACCTCTTCATAACATTGTACTCAGAGAAAAGTCAAGATGATAATGTAATGGAATATTTACATGAAGAATGTGAGTAAGCAAAAATGAAAAAATAATGTAAAGTTAAACGTAAAGGTAGTTTATTATTTTTGGGAACAATGTTTGTACTTTATTTAAATGTTATTCTTACATGCTTTTATGTCAGATTTACACGTCTAATGCAGGATATATATCTTTGTGTGAAGAAATATTGAAGCCACTTTCTTTTGTGCACATGGGTGTGATAAGGAGAGCTGGATTGTTAACTGATCAATCAGTCAATAAGTAAAAGGGATTTTGTTTATGTAATCTCTAGATAGTCTCATTATTTGCTCAAATTTGTTTCCTCATATGTGAAAGATGTTACTTTTTGTAATATTTACCTCAATTGAAAGTGGAGATCCCAGCGGTGAGTGGAAGTTGCTGTTAATGCAATATCGTTGTTTGGTTAGAAGATGCACTTCTTTACTTTACTTCTTTACTTTGCACTTCTTTTCTGTAAGGGTCTGGTCCCTATCCAGTGTGATGAAGTTACGACTGGATTTCTGAAGAAATAAATTGTGCTGTATATATTTTTAATATTCAAATCTTATTGTAAGAGTGTGGAAAGCAAATGGAGCTGTGATGTAACTTTGTTGGTGATGCTTTATGCAATTAAGAGGTTTTAGATAAAAACTGACAATTAAGCAGGAAAGCAGAATAGGAGCTATGCTGGTAGCGCCAGAGCATGAGGTATTTTTATATTAAATTTGTAGCAGATGGCAGTCTGCTTTCATTACCTTATTGAGGAAGTTGTGCCAAAATGAGCCACAGATTTTGGCCAGTCCAACATAAACTTTTTTTTACAGTTTTTCCTGTGTAAAAGCAAAGTGTCATCAGTGTATTTGGAAATTCAAGGGAAATGCCTTTTTTCTACTTTTTATGGGTTTTGTATTTTTGCTCTAACTGTGGATGCATGTGTGAATTGAAAAATGAAGTGAATAAAGGTACGGGTAAATGAGCAAACCTGAATAAATAAAGAGTCTGGTGTTTTTACAGCAAACATTTGCCTGGAAAACTGAGTTGAAACCAGATTTTTACATACACAAGACAATTCAGTTCAAGTGAGTTTATTTATGTAGTGCAGAAACACAACAAATGTCTACAGCCTTAACCAAACTTATTTTGTTTGTATACAGAAACATGAAGCCAACTGTATCGAATGATATTGTAATAATTAGAGTTGTTTGTCAAGGATGAAGCTGAAGAAGCGAGAAGGATAGTGAAAAGGTAAATGGTAAATTACTTGACAATAGACAGGAACCAGGTGCAGCAGTGAGAGGAGGCAGAACAGGTAGACTGAGAGAAGAAGACTAAACAATCTCCCATGCGTCATCTGAAGCGTTGACATCGGCTCTCGTTGACATAGTGGCCATCTTGTTCCCTCACAGACACCAAGACCGGGTTGAACTATTTCACACAGAGCAGGCCTAAAGCCTTGATACTGCAAGTATTTTAGATTAATAATAGGAAATGTCGTGAAGCTGAACTCTAAGGTCCCAAAGGGTAGCAAAACGTACACACAAAAATAAGAATATATCAAGACATTATGTTGTTTATGCTAAGTAACATAAAAAATCTCTTCAAAATACTTTTTTGTGCAACCATCTCCTAACACTATTTTACAGGACCTAACACTGTAAGTAGCACCTCATAATTAAAAAGTCTGTTGCAAGTTCTGGCAACATAGCTAGCAGAACAAGAAAGTCTTAGATGCTGTGGTTACTCCATTCATTGTTGGTGTACTTGACCAACACAAGAATGTCTTCAGTTTGAAAGCGTTGTGAATACTTCTGCATGGAGTCATCTTTCCAAGAAATTGATTTTAGTTTTTTCGTCAGAACTTCTTTCTTCCTGCCACTCTGCGCAATGTGAGACATGATGCATTCAGACCGGATAGACCGGTAGACTCGGTTTGATTGGGGACTCAAATTGCAACATTTGAAAACAACAGTTTTCAGAACTGTAGTTTAAATTCAAACTGCACTGTGTCAAACGACTAAAACTAACTGGAAAACCTGTCGTCGTTCCCCAGCCCCCACCACCGCCGCCTGTGGGAGTGCTGCACCAAGATCTACTGAAGAAATAGACACAAAACCTCTTAAGAAGACCAGCGCAACTTCCTTCTTCACAAAAAGTAAATAAAAACGGAGTGGTGTCAGATTTCACAGGTTGTAGGATTTCCTCATTGATATACATTACTGGTTCGGACATCGCCTGTTAGCCGCTAACGCTAGCGACGTTCCTGCAGGCGCCATTACTACACGGTGAGTCTGTCCACTAAACCAGGCTGTTCCAATGTGGGATGAGCAGAAATCTGTCACAAAATGATCGTAGTGCCTTTATTTCTTACCCAATTTCTATAAACATGGCCTAAATTAAGCCATGCTTAATTTAAGCTGAGAAAATTGCTGATGTTTGTATTCTCCCTTGATATAAATCTATAAGCAGTTTGGTTTCTATCATCTATCAAGATGCAAAAGAGAACTAAGAAAATTGCTCTTTTATATTGGTGAATAATTACATAATTCATACATTAATTAATTATATAATTAATTAATAGAAAAGAAAATATTGAATAAGACAAACCTAAGAATAACCAACATGAACTGATCTCACACAATGAACACAAAAGGGAATTTGTACACAAAGGCTAGCCTACACAAAACAAGGAGGCCAGGGGAAAAAAAAAAAGACAAACAATAAACAATTAATTCAAACCAACAAATTAAAACTATAACACAAATGTGGAGACAAAATCAGATTTGGTCAAATCAGGACTCAATAGGTCACATGAGCTTCTTCCTTTGCTCCAACAGTTCAATCTTTATGCTCTGTTGCATTTGTTCCCGTTACCCTCACTAATTAGTGGTTTTCTTATGGTAAGCATCTATTCATTCCCATTTCCTTGAGTTCACTTTACATTGTGCGTGACACTGCATGTGAAAATGTTTTTTCTTTCACTATTGAACATAACCTTGAGCTCTAATGCTGTTTTTCTTCAATCTGATGTCATAAAACGCATTAGTAAGGAGCAAAGAACACGCCAACAGAGATAGCCAAAACTTCTCAAGAGGCTAATCAAGCACTGAAGCTATGACTACAGGCTTTATGCAATGAGTCCACTGGGGGACAACTCTCACCAGGGAGAAAAGCTATTATATGTCTTACACTGCACCACAACTGTTTCAGAGACTAGCTTCATGCAAATTATACAAATCCGCTCAGCATGGTCATTGGACCTATTCTGTTATTAAGTTTTTTTCTCTATTTTGAGATTTTTTATGACAAAATGAGATCTTGTTCATAAAAACTTAAATTTAAAAGGATCACCTAGTGCTATGATCCAAAGTGCTAATTTGAAGGAAGTTACATAAAAAGAAGTATCTGAATAAATTTTCATTATTTTAACTTTTCTTTGTGACAAATAAAATCTTTTTTTTTTGTTCTAGCTGAGCTACAACAGGAAAGCAATTTTAAAAAGGATGAGGCACTAACTCCACACTGAACTTAAATGTTCATCTAAAGCTGCGTTAAGCCAAATGTAAACATCAGCAGAATAAAAGAAAATAACATGTGAATCCAGCTGCCTGTAGTATTCAGGAAGCTGAATACTACAGTGGTTTTGTGTTGAGGACCCTGAAACTGGTGGGTTTTCTATGACATTCAAGTTCAACTTGTACAATTTATAGTTTATGTAGCGAAACAAATCCAAACTGATATAAACATTTTTCAAATGTCTAATTAGTATTAGTATTAATCATCAAAGTTCCTGAAAGGATTACAGGGCATTTTCTCATATTTCATTGGGCATAATTAATCATCTCAACTTAATTAACCCGACGTGGACACAGCTTTTGGCAACCATCCCAAGATGCTGTGAAAACAAAAACACAGATTACATATATTCACAGCTGTAGTCATTATTTGTAATGAACACTGACTGCATAAAATACAGACAAAATGTCAATATGTCTGCTTGTATTTTATGTAAACATACAGAATTTCTGATACTTTAGGGGTTGAATGTGTAATTGTAATCTTTATGCATTTTACACTCCTTTCATCATGTGTTTCATTAAACTTCAACCGAAAACATTCACCTCTACCAAAGCCTACAGTTTTGAACACTTAAAATTAATCTTTTGTATCACAGGTGAGTTAAAATTGAGCATTTGGTTTCTGTACATTAATTTAGTTCCTGTGTTGTGTCCTTGATAGCTCCCAGTTGTGTCTCGTGCTCCTTGATTAGCCCTTGTGTATTTAATCCCACCTTTGTTCCCAGGTCCTTGTCGGATCCTTGTCTATACTGTCTCGTCATGTTGTGTTGTTGACTACCGGTGCTGCCAGAGTTTGAGTTTATGCTCACCTGTGCTGCCTGGACTTCTCTGTGCTCTTCTTTTGCTCATCATTAAACTACAACTGTTCTCCAACGCCTGGGTCCGCCGTGCATATCTCGTCACCAAAACCCACAAAACATGACACGTTATTCAAAACTCCGTGGATACAAGTCACCGATCTTGACATCCATTCAGAATCACACCCTCCCTTTTGCTGAGGACTGCCGGGGAATTGGGATGAGTTAGTGAAGGCACTCACAAGGCCTTGCTGAAGGGATTTATGGTTTTGTGAGACTGCAGACTGAAATGATTGTACATCCTTGCCTCCTACAGCCCCCTCTGTGACTATCCTGTTCAGCTGAAAATACTGTGTTGAAAGCAAGCCCTCCACATGGCAGCAGAGCACAGAGGCCTTCAGAAGGACAGGTTTGTGTGACTCCTCTCATTAACTACTAAAGCTGCCCCTCATTCCAGCCTGATGGGAGCCACTTATGTTATCATCACCATGCCAACCAGCTGTCAGCTTTGGTGCAGCAAAGCTTTTGCACTTCACACAGATGCGTCTGTGTCATGCTGATCTCTCGCCCCGCCGCAAAGGAGTCGCCACCACAGTCAACGCTTTTCTTCTCTGGGACGGCCTGATTTAGGCAAAAAGGAGCAGCTGACACCTTATTGTAAAGCTTGAATAAATTAAGAGGACATCCGAGTCCAGGTCAAATAAAGGGCTATTTACTGGACTTAGACAGTCTGCATACAAAATCTGTTGGCAGCTGCCCACTGGTCGAGTTCCGGCGATTGACAGACAAAAAGGAACATGCAAAATCAGCAACCCCCTTTTTGCTCAGTAGGGTTGGCACCACCAGCTGTGCAGGTTAATATTACAAGAGGCTGATTATTCTGCGGAGGAAAATCACAAACAAGAGCCACTATATAGGTTAATGTGTAAAAGTTACCACATGATAATCTGCGGGTTGTTGACATGCCATGTATTTTATGTGATTTTAACTTGCAAATCCATGATGATTTTTATTTGATGGGGAAATATAGGACCCCTCCCGACCCCACTGAGGGACAAGGGTGTTCAGAAAATGGATGGATGGATGGGGAAATATAGGTCACTCCCTCTTTGCTTCGATGTCACATGACGACAGATGTGCAACAGCAAAAGATTAGGAGACACAATGTTGCAGTTGTCATGTAGTCGCTTCAGGGTTTACTTAACGTCTGCACGGCTTTTGTGCTCATCAATCACTCATCGAGACACCAGAGGAAGAGAGGATTTCATACGCTGATAATTTAATCTGAATCATCGTGTAGCTCTGCGTAATCCAGAGAATCTGTCCACTTCGGGGGAAAAAAAAAAAAAAAAAAAAAAGACTTCTCGAGTAAGGAATGACTTCAGGTCAGATACAGTTATTGTGCTGAGAGTCTTACGTAACGTGTTTGATGTGGGTCAAAAATAACTTAGCCCTGCGCCTTGGAGGTTGGAAGATGCAACCCACATACAGTGCAGAACCGTGTTCCAGTACCACAGGCTGAGCCAAGAAAAGGGTTTCAGTCGTTACCAGTGCATAAGTCCAGATACTTCTCTTTACGAGGGGTTGTTATGAGGTAAATGTCAAATGAAGACACAAGGGAACAGAGTTCATCCTCAAAGAATTTCATTCCTCGCTGCCTCATCTTTCTCTTTGACCTCCCCGTTTGCATCTGTGAGGGATTAGACTTGTGGTTTTCCCAGGCTATTTTGGACTCCACCCCCCTCCCCACCCCCAATATTGTCGTTGGAAAACTGATACAGACGCATGTATCGGGTCTCGACAGAAATTAGTTGTTCATCATCTTTGACGTGGATTTTTTTTATTTTTTTTTATTGTATTATGCAGTACTCCAACACATTGTGTGGCAGATAACTATGAAGTGGAAGAAGAAGTGCATCTGGTTTAAAAGTCTTACAAATAAAAATCTTTTCTAACAGAACTATGCCCTTTGACCTAATCTACACCATAGTAGCTCTGGCTGTGTGTTCAGGGTCACTGTCGTGAAAGAAAGTAAAGCTCCTCACCAGTCTGAAATCTGCCGTGTCTAATAGGTTTTCTTCCAGAATCATCTTGTAATTAACCCCCATTTGTCTTCCATGTCTCTGTCCATGAAAACCGCACCAATGTTTCACCAAAGGGAGATGTGTTCAGGTTAATGAGCAATGTCTTCTGTCACACATAAAGTTTTGCATGTTGGTCAAAAAGTTATATGACGGAAGCACCTTTGTCCAAATGTCTGCTGCCTCATCTCTTAGCATGAGTTTTTAGAGCTTTCAGTGTTCAATGCTTTCAATGTTTTTGCTCCACCACTCTTACAAAAAAGACAGATGGTTGTGGAGTCAATTGATTCCCAAACATAAGCTGTGGATCTCTGCAGCTCCTCCAGAGTCACCATTGACTTCTTGACTTCTCTGATGAAGGCGCTCCATCTGCTGAAGTGGTCGACCATGTCTTGGCAGCTGTTCAGAGCACAGTTGTGCTTAACAAACTGGGAAAAAGTTGAAGAGGGATGAGTGCCTTTACAAGGTGCTATAAATGTTGACATTTGTTGTCTCCTACATGATGACTTTTATCCTTGGAGCTTGGCTTAGCTTATTGAACCAAACACGATCTGCAACCAAAGAAGCACTATGATTAGCAAGATAGTCCACATTTAAACTGCCTGTTCTACTCCTCCTTGTCTTTATTTTACCGTGGATGGATTAAGCGCACACTAAGCCGGAGCTTTCCCTTTGTGAAGTGCTGCCAAGCAAACGGTAAGAGGCTCCTGGCTCTCAGGTTCAGTACCTGGCATCCACGAAGCTGCTGCTGGCACCTACCTTTCATCAGCCATCTGTAATCGCCTGTGCCCCCGACAACTTCCACAAGTGTGCCCTTGCATGTCGCAGCGTCCAAATGGCCAGCTGTCTCTGCTTTTGGACCTCTGTATGACAGTAATTGATCACTTTATCATTCGTATAGCTTGACATTTTTCCCCAAGAGTACGTTTTTGTATCCAGAATGAAATTTCTGCTTGCATTTTTTTTTTAGCTTCATGGTGGGTAAATCAGCGACAATGAGAACAAATCAAAGGCTTTCGTGATGTGTTCTCTCGATGAGCTCCCTTAAAAGGTGAAGGAGGATTCAGCGCAGTATGCACATTCTCTCTAGAGATTACCACTAATATGAGCAGGTCTGTATTTATAGAAGAGCCCCACACTAGACACCCCATAATCCTCCCTGACCCCTGTTTCAATCCCTGCCTCATCCCAGTGTTTGGACGAGTTGACCATCGCTGTGCCTGACTTCAGCCTCACTCTCGCCTCACATCAGCCGAGGTAGACGCTTTAGAGGACAGCTCTGCTCTTTGGGGAAGAAGAGGGAACATTTTCTCTGCATATTCTACTTGATTAAAAGTGAGAAGTCCAGGGACTACCACACTTCTCGAATAATATTTCTTGTTCGTCCTCGTTGTCTGTTCATCCTGCTGCTCTGTTTGACCCACAGATAAAGAAAAGCGAAACAAAATGTCCTCCGTTGAGCGGTTTGACTGTCATTACTGCAAAGACTCTTTGCTGGGGAAGAAGTACATCATGAAAGAGGACACACAGTATTGCACAAAGTGCTACGAGAACCTATTTGCTAACTGCTGTGAAGTGTGCTCTTTACCTATTGGCTGCAACTTCAGGGTAAGTATGAAACAATGACGCCCTGGGGGAAAAAAATATATGTCATCCTCAGACTCCAGCTGCAGCAGAAATGTTCCCTGAATGAGTAGCAGCTGAATGATCTGAAGCTAATGTGGATTCAACATTTGTAGGACCTGTCCTATAAGGATCACCACTGGCATGAGCAGTGCTTCAAGTGTGCAAAGTGCAGCCGCTCACTGGTGGAGAAGGCCTTTGCAGCCAAGGAGGATTTACTGCTCTGCACTGAATGCTATGCACACGATTACTCATCCAAATGCAACACCTGCAAGAAGACCGTCATGCCAGGTACTGGCAGCCATGAACACAGCTCCACGAGATTAAGAATGAGGCTTACTGTGTTTAATAACATATTACACTTAGGGTAATATGTTGGGCAAAACTTTTATGTCATTAGTGAAACTGAGAGCTTCTTTATTGATCTTAGCAACACTCAACAGTTGCAAGCGAAACCATCCAAACACAAGGTCTATTAATAGCCATTCTGCAGTTGTTCCCACATCTACAGTTTCCAAAGCACTGAGTGAGCTTTTAATCTCTGGTTTTAATAAGCCCATATCAGGTTTATACAGGGATTTGTCAAATGTGTCTGGAGCTGAAATCTTTCAATGGCCAAACAAAACTTATCTTTCTCACCTTTCAGTTTGAGCCAGTGTTGCTCTTTTATGTTTATAAGGCTTCCTTCCCTTAAGTCTTGCATATTCCTTTAGGAGTTGTCATTTTCAGGCAAATGGAGCTCCAGAAAGTTTTCTAAGGTACTGATGGGGGTGGAGGGGGCACTGATAGTTTAGGGCAAGGGTCTGCGTTCTGCAGGCCTGAAGTCATAAATGGCTCTTTGGACCTTGCAGAATAATTTTTGTTAAAATGATGAACATCTAATGCTTTCAAATATAAACCACATTTTCTCAGTTATCCTTATTTTCTTGGAATAACTGCATTGAATGTCCATAATTCATTGCCTTTAAGTAGGAATCAGGTTTTTTTTAATGATTTTCCACAAAAATAAATCCAAGAAGAAAATGTATTCTTCATCTTTTTTGCTTAAGTTTTCTTTATTTTAATATCCAAAAATAGAACCAAAAGGATGGATATTTTAAAATGACATCAAGTTTCCAACAGTAGATGTTTATCAAAAATGATAAAATGCCTTCCTTCAAAACGTTGTGTGATATTTGCTGCTCCGAACTAGTTTTATTCACCTGAAATAAGGGTAAAAATGGTTCTTTGATTTGCTCAAAGATGAAGACCCCTACAGTCTATGGTACAATTTAACAAAAACTGAAAGAAATATAATGTAAGACAGTACAATCAGAGTTTTTAACGACAAAGGAGTATGGATAATGGGAAACATCATGCCAAGTAAAGCATAAGTACAACACCTAGCAGCCTCATAGTTTTGCTAGAAACTGATTCTTCAGTAAAGTGATGGTTCTGATATCTGCTTGTTTTTGAAGAGAAGTTCTGGGAAGTAAATATCAGTCATAGTTTAGTTATCTGTAGTAGATGTAGACAGATACTCCTTCATGTGATCTCCTTGGAATTTATTTATTTTATTTTTTTTCTGTGAAGCTGGGGCAAGTCAGAGCAGCATTTATCTGAAATGGCAAGCACCAAAACAAATCCTAGTGTTTTCAGACTTGGAACTAGAAAACCGTCAATTCAGAAACTTTCAGCTTCCAAGACAAATTTGTACTCAAAAGTTGTTGTTTTTTCCAAGTGCACATAAAAAGGGAACATAGCAAATACAAGAATGTGCCCTAATGTGGAAAGTCTAACTACGAGTTAGAGCAGTTTGGTATTCGAGGCGGCCGCATTTAAAACATAATGACAGTTGCTATTATAAATTATTCATTAACACTTGTACATATTTAAACCTGAGCTGCGCTCATAGTACATGTAGGCATAACAAGTAAAAGATAAAAAAACAAGAACAAAGCAGTTTACAATCAGTGAGAAATGTTTTAGTTTTCCTAAAATGCTTTTATAGTTCTAAAAATATTTTTCCAGGACTTTTCATTACAAAATCAACTTGCCTAATTAGAATAAAATTTGCTTTAAAATTTCTCTTAAAGCACTGAATCAGGATCTTCTGATTTGGTTGATTTGGTTGTTTGTCGACATGCAACTTCCACAAATCACTTTTGCATGTAGAACCTAAAGATATTTCCTGATCAGAACAATATTTAGTCCAGTATTTGCAATAATTCTCTACAACATTTTATATTATAAACTACTAACATCACCTTTATAAAGTTACCCAGTAATTATACCAGTTATGCAGATCCATCTATAATCTCTAACCTTAGATTGCACAGGCTCCACTGACCAACTAAAACTATTTTCGGCAGCATGTATTCTGTCATTGAGGTGCCATATGCTGGCTTCGCTGCTCTCGTGTCGTTTGCCAGGTTCCCGAAAAATGGAGTACAAGGGGAACAGCTGGCATGAGACTTGCTTCCTGTGCCACCGCTGCCAACAGCCAATAGGAACCAAGTCTTTCATCCCCAAAGACTCTGGCTACTTTTGTGTGCCCTGCTTTGAAAAGCAGTTTGCATACCAGTGCTGTGCTTGTAAGAAGGTAAAAAACAAAACAAAAAAAAAACATAAGTGTGTAATTTTTATGTAATGACTACTCAGGTCAATCTGAGAAAGAATTACCATTTGCGCTCATATTTGTTGTATCGTGTATCATCAGGCCATCACCACGGGTGGCGTGACCTATCAAGATAAGCCGTGGCATCGTGAGTGCTTCCTCTGCATCGGCTGCAGAAAGCAGCTTTCAGGGTATCGCTTCACGTCCAGGGAAAACTACCCCTACTGCCTGGACTGTTTCAGCAACCTGTATGCAAAGAAGTGTGTCGGTTGCACCAAACCCATTTCTAGTGAGTCGTTCTCTGTATGTTTTGCATAACTTTGCTGTCATAAGGGTCGTAATAACGTGGGATCATGAGGTATGCATTTAAACGGCTGGAGAGACAACAAAAAGGAAAAACTTTCAAAAGTAGGAACAGATTAAAGGATTTTTAATTATTGCAGATGCTTCCCATTCAACACATAGTAAAAATGAAACATAGTGATTATGATACACAATATTACACAAATCTACAAATACTGACTGTGCGTCAGCAGGTTGACAGACACTTTAGAAAATTCAAACTTGGGCTACGGCACGAGAGACCGATATCAATGCTATTGTGTCCTAGCCAGTTTCCTTTAAACATCAGGCAGCCATCTTGCATCGAATGGTTGGTAGTGTTCCAGCAGCACAATGATCACAAACACACATGAAAGCTGATTTTTACAATGAAGAAATGAATGGTCTAAAAGCCCCAACCTCAGCCTGAAAATTTGTGAACTTTGATTAAAGAGCAGATCCATGCAAGGGAACAAACCAGTGCAGTTACATCCCACCATTTTTCATAAGAAGAACGGTCTTCTTATGAAAGACCATTCATAAGGTTGTTAATGACCTCATCATTAACAACTGATCAGGTCAGTTGTTAATGAATAACAAGTGTAAGCTTTAGCTTTACTGGACGAGTTAGATAACACTAGCAATAAAATTTAAAAGGAAAAAACATGTGTGCATTCAATTTGGAGTTTCTTTAGCAAACGTACATGTCACCTGTTTATCTTTTTCAGGTTTGGCAGGTGCCAAATACATCTCATTTGAGGAGCGCCAGTGGCACAGCGAGTGTTTCACCTGCATGCAGTGCTCTGTGTCTCTGGTGGGACGCGGCTTTCTCACCCAGCGGGACGACATTTTGTGCACCGACTGCGGCAGGGAGAAATGACCTGTGCATGACAAGTTCACCCACGATGCAACATCTTATGCTCTCTTTTGTTAATACGCTGGGCACGTTAATCGGTACTAGATTGGATGATGCTGTTCCCTCATAACGTGATCAACATTTTCTCATTTTGCTTTAATGTAGTGTTCTTTTGTGAAAGTCTTCATAATGGCATTCATATCAATGCTACTGTGACATTTGGTGCTTCTGTAAACTTCTCAGTTTCCTGTAAACATGTACAGCCGTGGTGCTTTATGCAAAGATGCTTATTCATTTTGACAAGAGTGAAATAATGTTTGTTTTTAGACTGTAGATCAAAAATATGTGAGAAAAAACTGAATTACTTGGTGCTAAAAAAAAGAAAACAGTATCTGCTGCCTTGCATGACACTTGCACATCAATGCATGCAAATATATTCACAAAATAACATGAATTTTGTCAAAATATAAGACGTTGCTGCAATAAAGTATTCTAATATCTGTTGTTTCTCATTTCAAGAGGAGATTATCAATTTGATTTAGATGCACACACGTACTGAATGCACAGGCATTGTTAATTAGCAATGCTAAAGTGTTCAGTATTTGATAATGCCACACACATATTCAATGAAACTAAAAAATTACAGTACGTCTAATGAAATAAAACTACTAAGGTTTGGTACAAGTCAAGAAAATTCAAACACTCAAAATGTATATTTACAGATTTAAAAAAGCACAAATAGATACCTGAGTTTATGCCAAAGCTACTGCGAATGATGCCAGTAAAAACTCAGCAGCACATCTGAGGACAGTCCCACATTTCAACCATCTGCTCGTCCCGAGAGACCGACACACGTCTGCCCTCGGTTTGCTCTCCTCTGTGCTTCTTTGTGCTCTGGAAAAGCTCTGTGTTTATGCGTTGGTTGAATAACTTGATCTCAATGACTCTTTTAAAGCAGATGGGATTTCTTTTAGGTTCAGGATCATGATTCAGATCACAGGTGGGAGTAGAGAGAAATGTGTCTCTTTCCTAGATCCCACAGTCTGAGCTGCTGTAGGTGTTGCCACAATTAACAGGTACAGATTGGGTGAGAAGTTTGCTGGCATGACTGTCACGTTACTGCTGGACTTTTAATTATTTATTTGAGTTGATCTTGTTTTTTAATCATCTTTAAAATCACAATATGTGCAGGCTTCTCATGCTGATAAATATCTCAGGAAGTTGCATAGCAACCAGTGAGTAATGTTTCCATTATATTTCTGGCATAATTCTGGCTCAATATTTCACCAAGGGTTTCTTCTCTGAAATGGCAGAGAAATTTAAAATGTTTGGTCCTGATTGTCCAGAAAATGTAAATCTACCTTTTAAGGGCAATCCAGAAATGTAATGCTGACATGTATTATCTCTTCCAAAACCAGCTTTAATATGTGCTAGGTATTATCTTCCTGTCTGAACATCAGACTGTGTCAAAGTTGCAAATGTGAAGCTGTTAATTCAAATGTTCTCTCCTCCTAAAACCAAATGAAGTTGTATCAACCACCTGCCCTCAAAAATCCTGTAAAATAAACTCTTAAAAGTCATTAACCTGTACAATATTCATGCCAAATATTATGTAAACGTCTGAACTGTTTGACTCCTTTGCAAAACCAGAGGACGTTAAGAGCTTCCATACCTAAATCACACGAGGCAGCGTGTTGTTACCTAGCGCTTTTTATTTGGGTCAGAGCTTTCCACCTTGTCAAACAGTCTGATTCAATCATTTCACAGCACTCAAAACCCAAACATACATCCTGCCTGGGGATATTTGCTTCTAGAGAAAATCCTTCCCTTATCCTCATCCCTCAGGCATGCTTGCGATAAAGACATGGAAATGCCTGCGTCCTCCCCTGCAGTGGCCGAGGGAAGTGCTGGCAGCCGGAGACGTGTTTCCCTCGCATCCAAATGCTGAACGTCTGCAGCGTGTTGGAACAGCAGCGCAAACAGACTTCAGGTCTCAGTGGAGATCTTCTGAACCAGGTGAACCAACCAGCCAACAAATCAGCTCCCAGCACAAACAGCAGAATATTCATACGCAACAAGTTACTTGCTTAATTGATTTGTAATTTATTTCATTTTCTAAGAATATTTTTACTTATCTAATTGGATTTATATATATATATATATATATATATATATATATATTTCAGAGATCATTGGATTCAGTATAGGTAAAGATGAGGCTTTACACACCAGATTTTTCACTTTTTTTTGTCAAGCTGGACTCATCCATTCATGTGCCTTCACTGTTTTCCAGCTGGATGATGAAACCGTCACAGGACAGCAGATGGTGTCTGATATTTGCTGTTACTTCTTCTAACTCTCATATTAAGGGTTGGATTTGTAGTTCACATACCAACGGTATTTTTTTCTGTCATCTATCTGGCTGTAAGTTGATAATTTGTGTGACATTTATATAGTCGCAGGCTGCCTCGGTTATTTTTTCTGGCATATTGGTGCTTAGTTTTTCGCCGACAGGAGCTGCAGAAGGCCATCTCTTGCCTGGCTGCATTTGTTAATTGTAACCAACAGGGTTTCTCACATGCCAGGAATCTATTCATAGAGTAAAATGGCTCCGAATCTCAGAATGTAATGAATAAATCTGAAAGAAATTAGCCTTCTGTAATAAGTTCCTAACAAAACATGAAGCTCCGATCAATGCTCATTATTGTTCTGTTCTGTGAAAGTGAGCTGGTTCCTCTGGGAAATTATCAACTTGAGTTAAAGATGTAGCCATGAATCAGTAGAGAGTTTTTTTTATTATTATTATTCTCTTAAAATAAACAAACGACAGAGGTTTAAAAAAAAAAACATCTCATCATTACTTGGCCTGTTAGGGAGCAATCTGGAGGAATAAATCAGGGATTGACATGCAGCAGAGAGGCTGATGGCGCCCTCCTGAGGCTTTATGTGGAAGTGATTTTTACTGCATCGCCTCTCCGAAGGCCACTGTGATCACTTACATTTTTGGATACCCTACGGAAGAGAATTAGGGCCACTGGAAAGAAAAAAAAATCTGACTTTAATCTCAGAATTCTGACTTTAATCTCAGAATTCTGATTTTAATCTCAGAATTCTGACTTTTTTCTCAGAATTCTGAACTGTTTTTTTTTTTTTTTTTTTTTTTTTTTCAGTGGCCCCAATCCTCTTCCGTAATACCCAGACATACTTTTGGTTGTGTATTATTAAATTTTTGTTTGTTGTCATTTTGTTTTCTCGGGTTTATTTATGTGGGTGTAGAAGGTCCTGGGTTCAAATCCAGGTGTGGACTCTTTCTGCAGAGAGCTTTTATTCCCAGGTTGTCTCTCTGAGTCTTTCCACAGTCTAAAAACATGACTGGTAAGCCAGTTTAACATGTAAGTGTGTGTGCAAGCTTTCTGATGTGTGTGTGTTGCCTTGTGATGGACCAGCTGTTCCCGTGACACTGCAAAGACAAGTGGATATAAAGAAAATGGATGGAAGTTTAATTAAGCCTCATCTTCGTGTTGTTATATCTGACATCCATTGGCTCAGTTGTGAAAAGTCCAGCTTCTAATGTTTAATAATTTACCTTTATCACAGGAAAGAGAGAGATAGAGGTGATATTATGCATTTGGACTTCTGCAGATTTGACTGATCCCATGTGTGCATCTTGCAATTCCTAACTCCAACTGCAGAGGGCAGAAGTACTCAGTGCAACTATTTTTTGCATATCTAAACATTACCTTAAATGCCTCCCATCATATTGCTTAAATTGCACCATTTAAGGGCCTATTTTGGTTTTAACTTGAACAATTTTCCCATTATTTTCAGCAAAAATAGGTGTGCAGGCTTTCAGTGTTCGCATAGTGATTTCTTTATGACCCTACATGTCATTACATTATAATTGTTATTTCTGACTTGTCTTTCCATTTGCCATTGTTTTTTTTGTTGTTTTTTTTGAGTGCTTTATCCGCAGTTTCATCAGACATGGGAACGGCACCATCCACTTACTGCAATCTTTTGAGTGTGTTATTAAATGCAGTGAAACATCAGCCTGTCTTCAGCTGGCGAGATATCAGATGTGTCTGGATTATGTTACATCAACCTCGCAGGGACAAGAACAGACAGAGCAAAAATGTGAAAGTGGCCAGAGATGATGTTGCATTAGCTAATGTGGGGGATCCAGCTTCTGCGAGTCCTCCGTCACTGCAAGATGTCAGCAAAGCACAAGTCACAGTGTTTGCCTTAGCAGAAGAACAGAACAAACAAAGAGAGAGCCTGCTTCTGCAGGGCCGGTGACTGCAGGGATCCAGAGTGACGGCTCAGACAGGATCTTTCCCAAATAATCTGTAGCTTTCTAGAAGCGTCGTCAGGTGTTTTTCATGTGAAAAGGGACTATTAATGTCTCGACAGAATCAACTGGATTTTCATTAATTCGTTCATCCACTGACTTTCGTTCTGCACTGAATTGCATTATAATTAGGATCATGTTTGAGTCTGTGTCACAGTTCCTTGACTTTGAGCTTAGTTAGTCACATTGCTTTCCAGTTTTGTGGTTCTCTTGTATTTCTGTTCCATCTTAGAAAGTGTCAGATTTTAAAGGCCGTATGGGTGTTTTTGTAGGGCGCCATTAAAAAGGGTACCAGATTAAACAATTTCAACTCAACTGTGCTGTCAATGAAGAGTTGGTTATTCTTTGTGTTGAGTAGATGCCACCTGCTTGCTACTGTTTCCTTGCAATTAATTATTGGAATAAGAATTTTCCCTTCAGTTCCACACACTTATGCTCCCTACCCGCACATCTTCACTTCCTGTGGTAATTAAGACTCACCTGTTGCCACACCAATCAATGTGCTTTGATATTTAATTTTCCAGTCTTCATTTGCTCTTCACTGATTTCTGATGAGCTCCGGGGCTCCTGTCTGAATTGTGTTATTCTGTGAGTTTCTTGTTTTAAACTATCTACTTGTTTCCTC